ACAGTTGGTGGACATGGTATCTGTACATGGTAGTTACATTTTGTTTGTATAATGTACATGAAGTATTGCGGTAGCGTGTGCTTTATAGAAAGTTAATGATGTATGCGTTTGCTAAAACCTTAGGTCCACCATGTAATCATGTACACATGTACATATATAATCATGTTATTTAATTCACGTAAATCACACTTTTCTTTAAATTTATAAAGACAAATTTATCTCTTAACATGTACATGCGTACATTAACATTATGTACACATTCACGTGGTCATCCAAAGTACATGTGTACACTAACATTATGTACACGTCCACGTGGTCGTCCCATTAATTTTTTTTATTGAATGGCAATTTTGTAATAACTTCATCTTCTTCCTATTAGGGTTTTCAACGTTTTCTGCAAATATAATCCGTAGCCGCCATTAATTTTTATCATGCAATATTCATTCTCCAAACTCCACTTGTCTCATCATCATGGTATGTACAACTCTTCCCATCAAAAGTCTTCTTATGTGTTGTTTTTAGAGGTTTCCAAGAACAACAAATAAAACTCACCGTTTGCGATCTCTTTTCCACGGCGGCTCCGGCGTGGTGTCATCCTCTTTGTCGCTTTCGTATCTCACACAACTAATAAATCACACAGACACAATTTCTCGTCGCTTTGGTGGTTCGGGAGTTAAGCGTATTCGCTACCAATTAAGCGAAAGAGAGTTTAGGGTACTGATTATCAATTGAATTCAATTTCCACCTCAAATCCATCAGTGGGTAAACAATAAAATAAATAATTTTCTATTTATTTAAAAATAACTAAAAAAATTTGATATTCAAATTGTACTTAAAACAAATTGTAACTAGAAACCCAACTAGTTAACTTCCCTGTCCAATCAAACACTTCTCTTTGGCTTCGACCGACAAAAAGTGCCCATGGAGCACAAACTGCCTTATCATGTAATAAAAAAGACGAAAGTGTCTCTCACTGTAATAAACTCTNATTTATTTAAAAATAACTAAAAAAATTTGATATTCAAATTGTACTTAAAACAAATTGTAACTAGAAACCCAACTAGTTAACTTCCCTGTCCAATCAAACACTTCTCTTTGGCTTCGACCGACAAAAAGTGCCCATGGAGCACAAACTGCCTTATCATGTAATAAAAAAGACGAAAGTGTCTCTCACTGTAATAAACTCTTATTTAAAAAAACCGCGTGAACTGCAAAGCCAATTAAAAACAGCTTTTACTACACTGTGGCCCCAGTCTCCAGCTGTTGCCTTAAACACGGCTTCGTCTTTCACCATATGAACCTTCCTCTTTCGAACCGCCTCTCATACCTTTTACTACTACTCACTATATATACATCCATCCATAAACCCTCAAACATCACATTCTAAAACCCAATACAAGAAAACACAATAAAAAAACATAGATAAATCTCAAAATGGCAAACACTTACATCCTTCCTCTGTTTCTTTTTCTTATAGTCATCTCCTCTGTTTCAGCTAACTTTCAAAAAGACGTTGAGATCACATGGGGAGATGGTCGTGGACAGATCAAGAACAATGGAGAGCTTCTCACTTTGTCTCTAGACAAATCATCTGGTTCTGGTTTCCAGTCCAAGAACGAGTACTTGTTCGGTAAAATAGACATGCAGATGAAACTTGTCCCTGGTAACTCTGCAGGAACAGTCACAACACTCTACGTAAGTGACATAACAATTAACAACATTCTTGAAGTTCTTGTTTCTAAAATAGGTTACTGATTTTTTTATTATTCTTGTGTTGCAGTTGAAATCACCTGGAACAACATGGGACGAGATAGACTTCGAGTTCTTAGGGAACCTAAGCGGAGATCCTTACACACTTCACACAAATGTATACACACAAGGCAAAGGAGACAAAGAACAGCAGTTTAAACTCTGGTTCGACCCAACAGCTGACTTCCACACTTACACCATTATATGGAACCCACAACGAATCATTTTCACAGTCGATGGAACTCCCATTAGAGAATTCAAGAACATGGAATCTATTGGCACTCTCTTTCCCAAGAACCGACCTATGAGAATGTATTCGAGTCTTTGGAACGCTGATGATTGGGCCACCAGAGGTGGCTTGGTCAAAACCGATTGGTCTAAAGCTCCTTTCACTGCTTCTTACCGTGGCTTCAACCAAGAAGCTTGTGTTTGGTCAAACGGCAAGTCGTCTTGTCCTAATGGCTCGGCACAGGGGACCAGTGGCTCGTGGCTGTCACAGGAGCTTGACTCAACTGCTCAAGAAAGGATGAGATGGGTGCAGAAGAACTACATGATCTACAACTATTGTACGGATTCGAAGAGGTTCCCTCAAGGTCTTCCAAAAGAGTGCTTAGCTGAGTAGAGAGTAAAGAGTGAGAGAAGAATAAAGTACTACTTTTTCTTTTTGTTATAAAATTTTATTAATTTTATTGTAAATCACATGAATTCTATTAATTTGTTAAAGTAATGTATACTTAGGGATGTTGTGATGGGTAAAATTACCCGACCCGAACCCGAAAAACACCCGCCCAAAAAATACCCTAAACTTAAAAACCCGAAAAAAATCCAGTATCATTAGGGTAACCCGCGAAAAATCCGAAATGTTTAGGGTTATCCATAGGTACACGTGAAAAACTCTATCTCTATTTTTTTTCAAGTTTTGTGGGTTTTAGGTAAAACTTTAATTATAATTTTAAATAAATTTATATATATTGGATATTTATTTTTAATCATGTTTTTAACTTTATAGTTTTATACTAAGTTTTGAGTTTTAGAAAAATAATGATTTAAAATATATCATCACCTGTACGTTAAAGAAGAGAAGAATGACTAATATAGAAGCTTAATTATATCACATAAATCCAAGAAAAATAATCCAAAACAAAGAAGATAATTAAACAAGTTCAAAAGTAAAGAGCCTCATGATATGTTGTTAAACAAATTCAAAAACAGAAACAAAGTTCAAAACTTAAGCAGAAACAAACCAACTTTAAGAAATAGACTCAGAATTCAGAAACACAAAGTATCAACGTAAAGAAGCAGATTCAAAATCACCCAAGACTTTGTTTAACTCATTCCAGAACTACTTGTTGTGGCTGTAGGATCCTTGTCTTCATCAAAATAATCTTCATCCCCTCAAATTATAAAATATAATTTGTAGTTACATAAAAAAAATTATATATGAAACAAGAAAACACAATTTCAAAACTAATAATTTACCTTCAAATTCAGTAAAACCTCTTAACCAGTTTCAAGTACACATCAGAGCTTAAACATTTTTTGAAAGAAGACAGTTTCTGAAAGGACTTATCACTCTTCCTCCAATGCTAAATGCTGATTCTGATGCCACAGTTGTGATTGGAATGCTGAACATATCACATGCAAGAGAAGCTAAATCGCCATAGCTTAAAATATAACGTAAGACGACGTCACTTTGGTTAACTTTTTTTTTAAAAAAACCCATAGGGTACCCGAAACCCGATAGTGTAAACGCGATAGGGTAATTACCAACATAAGACCCGCCCAATAAAAACCCGCGAAAATTAAAATCTAAACATACGATTTTTGGGTTTCAAATTTTAACCGAGTTTCAGGTACCCTATGGGTAAAAACCCATTATTAACATCCCTAGTATACTCTTCTTTTTTTTGTTCACCAAGTAATGTATTCTCTTTAGGGAGAATTTGCTCAATATACAAAACAAAAATGGAAATTAAGAATATGAAATTGATTTTGACCTATTTAATAAACTAGCATTTATGCTGAAGTTTAGTCGGTTATATCCTCTTCACTTTTAGGTAGCCGCTAAAGAGAAAATAGTTGATATTTTGGAGAAGAGAAGTCAGCCACGTCACTTATATAATAACCACAAAATTTCTACATGTTCTATTCCATATAATCAAAATAGTATATGATATCAACTCTATCTCAATTTCTAATTCTAACAATTAAACCTTATCCCAACCTACCCTATCCCCTAATACAAATCATAAATCCTAATCACTAAACCCAAATATAGACCAATAAACCTAAATATAATGGAACAAAATATATAGTATAGTACATATTGGTGAACAAATAGAATAATCTTTATTAATTGTCAAATGGAACAATACAAATAACGGAGCAACGAGGGTGAGTTAGTGAAAGCCCCACCCAGATGATAACACTAAACCCTAACCCAGAAATGTCAACCCACATCCAAGATATAAACAATTTCTCCTTGCTGAGAAATATGTACATTTACCAGATTATTACATTTTTAAGAAATAGTATAGAAATATGTACCAAATAGTATGGTAATCTTACATAAATAGCTACACTAAAGAATATATACTATATTATTTCGTTCACCGAATATAGTATAGACAGCGGATTCATCTTCTGCAATTCTTTTTATTTTCAAACATGATGATACACCTTCACTTTGTTCACCGTCGTTATTCTTCACCACCATATAAAGATCATATTTGTCCCCTCTCTTTCTTCCAACACAACGACGCTTCTACCGGTCCACCATCGTTATTCTTCACCATTGGATCACTAAAACAAAAACAAAAATAGAGTAAAAAACAGAAACATAAACAGCAACAGACTATAAAAATAGAAACAAAACACAATATAAAAATAAAAACACAAATCGTAGTACAAAAATAAAAGCAAAAACAGAGTAAAAAGTGTGATGTCACTTTGTTCTCTACGGTGCCATCTTCTCCTCCAAATTCAGTTTCATAAGCATAGAATTTTTGTTTCTTTCTTGTTTTGAGATGAAGTGGTGTCTGTTTGTACGTATGAAGAAGAAATAAAGATTTGATGAAAAAAAGAAAAATAAAAGGAGAGATGTGCATCAATGGTAGCCACACTTTATTATATTGTTTATTTAATATTTATTTCAATAAATAATATTTAATAGGTCAGATAAATCACAACTGAAGGGTAATACGGCTATTTTTTATATTGTGGAGCTGATATATTGATGATCAAGGGCTTTTAGTTATGAGATGAATTAACATTTGTTTGATGGCTATACAATGCAATTTTCCTTCTCTTTACGGTATCTTTTTTTTAACTGAATGTGTAACTTGTTACATGTTACTTTGTGCCCTATTCTTTGGATTAATAGAACAATAAGAGAGAATCAAGATTTAGATAAAACCTTTGAGAGCAAGTCAACTAAAATCTAGAGAATCAAGACTGACCTTTGTTTGTCAAAAAAAAAAAACCTAACCTTTGAGTGCAAGTCTTGGTTTAAATAAGCACAATTATTTTAAACATGATTTCCTAATTTAGGCCCATTAAAAATGAAACAAGCAATAAAAGTATTTTTCTCACTTTTATTATTAATTTTTGAAATATATTTTGTTAATCACCTACCTAAAAACTTAAGAAATTATCTAAATATAGTGCAGCTTATATGATGTTACTAGGAATTTAATCATTTTAAAAATCATACAGTGTAAATATCAATTTCTTTACGATAAATAAAGAAGTCTTAACCCAAAATAAGTAAAGGAGTTAAATCCTATACATCTGAAAAAATCATGACTAAGAAACTTCTGGACCAAAAAAAAGAAAAAAAAACTTCTGGACCACGACCATCACACCTTTTTTCGTGGTCGAATATAGATTTCTAGAGTTTACGTAAGAGTTGGGACTGCGCTGAGGATCTAGCAACTCGGACTAAGTAACTTCCGGACCACGACCGCCATGAATTTGATTGTCTTAGCTGTCTCACCACTACATCAAATGTCTGAGTCAGTCTGTCATAATCATGATTTATCCAACAACTATCTTATCCCTTCAACGTAACAGCAGTTCTCTTGTTCCCATACTGTAAATTTTGAATCGATCAATTAGTTTTCTAATAAAAACAAATACAATATGGATCTATCCGATTCTTAACCACTGTACACTTACAAAGAATATTTGTTATTCTATTAGTTAAATTTGAGATAGACTAAATGTCAGATCGGAACAAAATAATCAATGAAACAAAATTTACGATAAAAAAAATTCACATTCTTAATTAAAAAATCCAAAACTCCATTTTGAGGTTTCGAAATATAAAAAATCTTGAAATCCGAAGAACATATCATTAATAACAACATTTGTTATGTGGCGATGAGATAACTACTCACATTAACTAAATTTTAGTTTTGCATATATCATAATAATAGTCAGGAATAAGAATAATAGAATCAAGATAATTGAACTATAAAAATGCAAAACTACGGTAGATGTACTAATAAACTTAAAACTCAGAGATTACCATATTCTAGTTAACTTTTCTAAAACACTTTTTTACTTCTTTTTTTTTGTAACACTTCTATTTTTTGTTATAACAGAATCTCTTGGTTCTAATATAGAAACCTTTTTTTCTCTGTCAAGGTCGGTCTACGCCGGTGGTAAAAAAGTATCCAACTCCCAATTTAATTTGAAAAGTAATGCTAAACATGTTTTTAGTGAAAAAAGAAACATTACTTTTAAAAACCGCGTGAACTCCAAAGCCAATTGAGTACAACCTTTACTGCAAAGATGGCCCAATCTCCAGCTGTTGCTTCACAAACCGCGGCTTCCCTTTTCACCATACGAACCTTCCTCTTAAGCCTTTACTAGTTACTAGTAGTAGTCTACTTACTATNTAATGCTAAACATGTTTTTAGTGAAAAAAGAAACATTACTTTTAAAAACCGCGTGAACTCCAAAGCCAATTGAGTACAACCTTTACTGCAAAGATGGCCCAATCTCCAGCTGTTGCTTCACAAACCGCGGCTTCCCTTTTCACCATACGAACCTTCCTCTTAAGCCTTTACTAGTTACTAGTAGTAGTCTACTTACTATATATAGATTCTTCCATAAACCCTTGAGCAACAAAACCACAAACGCAACACAACTACACAAGCCACAAGATAAAACTAAAAAGACAATAAAGCTCTCAAAATGGCAAACAAATACATCCTTCCTCTGATTCTTTCTCTTATAGTCATCTCCTCTGTTTCAGCTAACTTCCAAAGAGACGTTGAGATCACTTGGGGAGATGGTCGTGGACAGATCACGAACAATGGAGAGCTTCTCACTTTGTCTCTAGACAAATCCTCTGGCTCTGGTTTCCAATCCAAGAATGAATACTTGTTCGGCAAAATCGACATGCAGATGAAACTCGTCCCTGGTAACTCCGCAGGAACAGTCACAACACTCTACGTAAGTTACATCACAAACTATCTTCATTATATTACAGAACATTTTGAATTTCTTGTTTCTAAAATGAATTTTTTTTTTTGTTACAGCTAAAGTCACCTGGAACAACATGGGACGAGATAGACTTCGAGTTCTTAGGCAACCTAAGTGGAGATCCTTACACACTCCACACAAATGTATACACACAAGGCAAAGGAGACAAAGAACAGCAGTTCAAACTCTGGTTCGACCCAACAGCTGACTTCCACACTTACACCATTATATGGAACCCACAACGAATCATTTTCACCGTAGATGGAACTCCCATTAGAGAATTCAAGAACATGGAATCTATTGGCACTCTCTTTCCCAAGAACCGACCAATGAGAATGTATTCGAGTCTTTGGAACGCTGATGATTGGGCCACCAGAGGTGGTTTGGTCAAAACAGATTGGTCTAAAGCTCCTTTCACTGCTTCTTACCGTGGCTTCAACCAAGAAGCTTGTGTTTGGTCAAACGGCAAGTCTTCTTGTCCTAATGGCTCGGGGCAGGGGACGAGTGGATCGTGGCTGTCACAGGAGCTTGACTCAACTGCTCAAGAAAGGATGAGATGGGTGCAGAAGAACTACATGATCTACAACTATTGTACGGATACAAAGAGGTTCCCTCAAGGTATTCCTAAAGAGTGCTTAGCTGCCTAGAGAGTAAAGAGTGAGAGAAGAACAAAGTACTACTTTTTCTTTTTGTTATAAAAATTTATTAATTTTATTGTAAATCACATGAATTCTATTAATTTGTTANAAGGATGAGATGGGTGCAGAAGAACTACATGATCTACAACTATTGTACGGATACAAAGAGGTTCCCTCAAGGTATTCCTAAAGAGTGCTTAGCTGCCTAGAGAGTAAAGAGTGAGAGAAGAACAAAGTACTACTTTTTCTTTTTGTTATAAAAATTTATTAATTTTATTGTAAATCACATGAATTCTATTAATTTGTTAAACTAATGTATTCTCTTCATATTATCTTTTTAACTTAATGTGTCTTTTTCATGTTACTTTGTTCCCTCTTCTTTGCATAATCATATATGTTATATTTTACATATACATACATTATATTGAATCTTTTTGCCACTCATATATTGTATTTTTCTAATAATGTATGTATCAATAAAATAACTAAAACTTCTTGATTATCTAGTTGTTATTTTTCAGGTTATAGGTTCAACCTGGCAAAGCGAAAGGCCCCCTAGCTCCATTCTATCATGCTAAGGTCTTTCAAGGTGTAAAAGTGAAATATGGAGGAAGCAATGCTTTGATACGATAGACTGGTTTCTGCTGGAAACAAATGTACTTTTTAAAGGAAAATAAATAACATACCAGTGTCGTCTTTGCCTCCCAAAATTATGGATTTATATGTTCCGAACCTCTTCGTAATTTAAAAAATAAAAACTCATCTTTACTCTTCTATTTGATTGATCTTTATTTCCTATGCCAAATAATTTGGATGAGCTAAGTTTATGAACTAACCAAAAAAAAACTTAAAAGAACCAAAACCAGCTACATTTGAATCTGTCACATAAACACAGCATATTAAAAAGAAGCGTTATAATACTGTAACATTAAAACATTTTTCATAAATAATTGTTAACTAGGTGATTTTCCCGTGCACGGGTATAAATATTCATAAAAGTAAAATTTTATAATAATTAATTGATATTTAATTTTCATTTTGAATCAATTTATATGTATAATTTATATTAATAAAAATTATATTATTTTATGTATACATATGACTTGAGATATATTATTGTCAGTTTAATTATTTTTTAAATCAAAGTCGGTTTGGTTATCAATTTGGTATATTGGATAATATCTATTTTGCGAATTCAGCTATAATATTTTTTATTCTAAATGTAATAAAACTTTGATTAATTTTCTTATTTTCAATTTGATTTGTTATTGTCTTAGATATGTAAGTATATTATAGTGAAATTACATATAACTTAATATATATTATGCTTAAAATGAAATAAAAAATAAGCTGAAGTGTTTGATTCAAAATTACATAAATGAATATAATGATAATATTTTGAAGTCTCATGCATATATATAAATTCTCCATAAGAATTAAATTGCAATTGGTCAATTTTTTTTCTTTTATATATGCTTTGAGTCAACCTCTAATTTATATGTATACAATTAAATAGATTATTATTATTATTATTATTATAATAAAATTATATGTTGTTATTTTATTTAGATGTTTAATTTTAGATATAAATTAGATTAGTCGAGTCATTCATTTTGTGAGTATATTGAGTTAAATATATTTTTAAATTAAAATTGAAATATTATTACTTTTTATTTTAGTTAAGCCAGATCAAATTAGTTTTATTTATCGCTTAAATATACATGTATTTTCATAATATTTTTTTTTACTTTTTATTGTAGTTAAGTCAAATCAAATTAGTTTTATTTATCGCTTAAATATACATGTATTTTCATAATATTTAACAAATTAATATGTTGATTTCTAAAAAATAGTAGAAAATAAAGTATAAATGATAAATTTTTGGATGTTCATGAACATATGTATATTTATTATTTTGAAAATATATTTTATGTTATTTAAAAATATATATTAATTGGTATATTACTATTTTGTAAACTTTTTTTAATAAAGTCATATTATATACATATATTTTCGTTTTAAAATTTGTTTTAAAATTTTAGAAATATTTCCTTTTTTATTATATATGTTATTTGGAAAAAAGTAAAAAAGAAACTAAATTTAAAATTTAAAAATAATCGTAAAATCTAACAATTCATTAAGGGTATCTATGTAATAAACCACCGCGAGAGTAAATGTGAGCGCGACACGTAGGAAACTGACTTCTCAAATAATATTATAGAGATTGACATGCTCTTGAAATAGGTAAAACAAAATGCAATGTTAGTTGTATGTAATGTAGAAATTCATTAGTAGTAATCTTAATTCGAAATTATTATATTGTAACAATCTTAGAGAAATAGTACCTTTTAATAGCATAAAAATGTTTATCACAAAATTAGCACACAAAGAGAACAATGGCAAAACTATGTTTCATTAAAATAGTTATCAGACACATACTCATTGGATTAATTAATCTAGTAGTAGGGTTTTGAGCTGGAGGAAAGAGATTTAGGGTTTGGAGATTAGGGTCTAGAATTTAAAATTTAGAATATAAAATTTAAAATAATAAATTTTAAAATATTTATTTTTTAAATGTATTATTAGTTAAAGGTAATTTAGTATTTTGATTTTTAGTGAAACTTATTTTAATAATTTTTGTGTATTATTTTTGTCGTAGAAACTTGTTTCATGTGTTTCAAGAGATTTGACCATAATATTATGTGTGACCGCAAAATGACCAAGATATATTTACTATAAACACTTTAACTATGTGGCAAAATATATTCAGTTTAAGGAAAAACAAAATAAAAACAAATATTTATGGTGTCTCATGTCTTGTAAAAAATAGAGCAACATATGGAAAATGAAGAAAGCTTTAGGATCCTAACCATTGTGTTAAAGGTCTCTGATTTAAATAATTACTGAGATAAAATTAATGTTATATATTGTGATTTTTAAATCTGAGTGAATTATAACTCGGCTCCGAACTTTCTAGTATTTCATTAGAAAATTCACATGTTTCCTTTTATCTGTGCGTTAATAATTGCTGGGATTTATGTTCTGTCATTACATGGAAACCTATCAAAGACAATGACCAATTCCATATTCAGTTTCGAATTTGTAATATATAACAGAATTGTCCAACCATTAATGGGAAAAAATAAAATCCATGTTTAATACTAAGTCTACCATGTTAACAAGAAACTCCAGCAAACCTCAAACAATGTGTGAAACCCCAACAATACTATAACAATAAGAGAATCAAGACTTAGATAAAACCTTTGAGAGCACGTCAACTAAAGTCTGAGAATCAAGACTGACCTTTGTTTGTTCAAAAAAAAAAAAAACCTAACCTTTGAGTGCAAGTCTTGGTCTAAATAAGCACAATTATTTTAAGCATGATTTCGTAATTTAGGCCCATTAAAAAATGAAACAAACAATAAAAGTATTTTCTCACTTTTATTATTAATTAGATATGGATTCGTTCGTTGCACTGATTCTATTTAATGTTTAATTTTGCAGACACATAAAAACTAAAAATCTTTTTCACATTAGACCATCTCCAATATATTTTGTTATTTTCATTCTAAAATAAATGAACTCTATAATAAAGATGAGATATGCTTCAATATATTTTTCTATAATAGCAATCTCTAAATATAGAGTAATAATAGAGGATTGCTATTTCTTTTTTTATAAATAAAGGAAAAAATAGAAGTCTCTATTTTAGACTAAGAAATAGAGGTGGGTTGGAGAAATTTCACCTCTAAATGTCATTATAGAGATTAAAATAACAATGGATTGGAGATGCTCTTATATCTTAAATTTTTCAGTATATATTCGTCTTAATTTTAGTAATAATAATTTGTTTCTTACATAAATTTTGGTTTATATTTCTATTTCAATAATGATGGTGTTTTAAATAATATATTAATATTTTAATTATTTTCAAAATAATAATACTTGCAGTTAATTGAAGCATATAGAAATGTGAACTTTCAATAGTATTTATCTTGTTTAAGATAATTAAAAACAACACAATTAATAATATTAAAACTACATGACACCAATCAATATGTACTATTGATAGTCAGCTAAATATCAAATATACTGCTAAATAAGACATCAAATATGTTTACTTTAACATTTATGGTGTGACTATTGTCGTTATGTTTTAAAAATTTGAAAAAATGGAGTTATAGTGACTTTTGATAGTGTGATGTATAATTGTAAGACTGGACTTGGCAAATATAGACCAACTCTAATTTTTGTTGATAGTCATTGCATAGCAAACTCATATAAGAAATTAACGTCATTTCAGTTTGAAAGACCATCTTGCATATGTTGGTATGAGACTTATGCTAGGAATAAAAAACTATTTTTCCATATAACTTCTTGTTAGGATTTCTACTTCAGTAATCATGTTGTGTATGTCAAATTATAAGTACTATTGTCCATTGAAAATCTTTCTCTTTGATTTCAATTCTTTAGTAGAATGATGTACAACACTCCATTTCAAAGTCATTCTCTTTTATTTTAATTACTAGGGTCGGCCCGCCCCTAAGGGCGGGATATACTTTACTTGTAATTTAGGTTACTATTTTTTGTATGCTTTCGTGGTTTTTTTTTAAATTTACATTTGCAAGAGATTCATATGATAATTGTTTTTGTCTTTTAGAAAGTTTTAGGTGAGAAAAGATTATATGTAGTAAAATATATTTTGCTTGGTTACAGTAGTTATTTTTATATTAAATAATTATGACATTGATATGTTGTGAAAGATTCAAAATGATCTTTATGTTGGTTCTTTTATAACATATGATCTCATATTCAATGTCAAAATGGTTTACTTTTTTCTTAATACTAATTTGTACAAATTAAATAAGGATTATTTTATTTAATCTCATACACTGATTTTTAGAGTCATCGATCTGAAATGAACGGTTTTAATATATTTAAAATCATCTACGTTACAATTTAAATAAAAAGCAAAGAAAATACACTAGTTAAACATTTATTCGTATGTTTAAAGAGAATCATGAACATTGATCCTTCATGGAACTTCTATATAAATAGGGCTTAGTAAATTATAAATTTCCCTTTTCAATAAAAAACTCTATTTTAATTTTTCTATACTCTTACGATAGAATACTATAAAAATAGAGAGAAGTTTTGTTCCAATGGTTATCTCAATTTTTTATTTTTAAAAGAACTTATTATATTCTTT